ACATACATATGAAGCATGCTTTCCTTGACCTTGTTTGAGTCTAATTGTTGATCACTAAATGTGTATTCCCATGAATAGGATACGTTTAGCAATATATACATATGATATGTATGCTACTGTATAGTGCTTATGAAATTTTTTGTGTTATTTTGATTCACTTCGTTTGTTTTGGAGTCATGTATTCCGGTCTAATTCAAATTCCTTAAGTAACTTTTCTTTTTTCTTTTTTTAGTAAAACTTGTTTTCGTTCAAGATATATCTTGTTTATTATATCATTTCATATGCTAACCCATTTCTATTTTTATTGCATGTAAAAAATTCCTTTCGGGTCCTTACGGATTTTACTTCATCTCGTTGAGCCGTAAAGGCTCACACTACCATATCCGAGTTGGTCAGCCCTCTAAAAAATGGTGCACAAGGTGAAACCAGCAATATGATTGCTGAAAATTAAAGTTGCAGGTCTCCAAAGCTTAAAAAGGGGCTAATATACAGTTGGAGCATACGATATACAGGTAGAAAAAATTAAACAGGTGCTGGAAATTTTATATGGGGCAGCATACATTCTGTATACACGAAAACGTATTGTATACAAGCCCTATACATCTGTATACATCAAAACGTATACCAGATTTTCAAGATAGAAATGAGCCAAAATCTCATCCAAAATTGCTGCAAGATTTTGGAAAAATTGGGCCTAGAGGTCCATTTTGCTGAATTTGGGCAAAGGGCCCAAATTCAAATTTTCTCCCTTCTCCTCTTTATTTATTTTACTATTGTATTAACTTACATTTCATTTGTTAAATTTTGGTTTGACTTTAATTTCCCCAATGTTAGTCATTTCTCTTTTTATGTTTAAATAAAAAGTACTTATTTTGATATTCTATATTTAACTTTATTTTCACTATTAGACCCTTTTAGAAGATTCTTTCTAAATTCATTTCCCTTTAAATTAGTCAATTAAAATAGAATAGTAATATTGATAAATAAATAGATTAAAAAAAATTAAATTTACTTTATTTAGTCAATATCTAAAAAATAGATTATTTTAAAATGTCATTTGGTCAAATCGCTGGTCAACCGCGAGTTAGCAGGTATGTCGAGGGCCTAATACCTTTTTGGAATGTATATTTAAACTTCAAATCCTTTTCAATCGATTTTAATCTGTTTTAAATCTTTTGGAAAATAATTTTAAGTTTTCTTAATTTTTGCTAAAAATCAAGTGGCGACTCTGTTAATTCGGAAAATTGATTTCTCTTAAATCAATAAGATTAATCAATTTTCCGAAACGTACTCATTTTCCTTTTACAATATATTTTTTCGTAAAACAGAAATGGTAATGTTGATGTCTCTATGAAAGTTTTTCATCGAGGTAATTAAAATGAAAAATCTCAAAGTTATATTATTTTTACATCATCTGAATTGAGTTCATTAGTTGTAAAATATAAATGTCAACTTTCATCTATGTTGAAGATAGGTATTACAAAAGCATATAATTCAGTTTTTGGGAACAAACTTACCTTTCATCTTCATAGAAAAACTTTTTTGATAAGAGGCACAATTAGTGTCAGTTGTGTTAGGGATTCTTTAATTGACAGTTATCCTCGTAAGTTTCATAATTTACCCATTTCATTTATGTCTTTTCTCTTCTTTTTTTACCTTTTTTTTCTCGTATCATTCTCCAGTATTTTTTTTTTTGCTCAACTTTTATCATTATATTTTATATTTTGATAAAAATTTGATACAAATCAAATCACAAACAGACCTATAAAAATATTAAATTTGACGAATGAAAAAACTTAGTAAGAAAATAGTAAAATTAACGTAATTGATTGACAATTTGAATTCTTGGTTTAATTTTTCGTACTCTAATATAATCCCTTTCCCCTTCCCCTTCCCCTATCCCTTATTGCCATTTTTTCGGGGGTTTTTTTTTTCCAAAAATAATCAAAAGGCATATCTAAACAGAAAAATAAAAATTACTCCATCCGTGGCTCCGTCCCTTTTTACTTGTCAGATTTTAACTCTAAACACATATTAAGAAAATAATAATAGATATAGTGAGTTTAACTACATTTTTCAAATACATTAACAGTGTAACGATCCGAACTATCGTTATTTAGGAAGAACAAAAATTCGTGAAAATTATGGGCCACTGTCCCGCCATGGCGGGCCTATTGCCGCTAGGGCGGAGGTGCCAGAGCAGGATCAGCGAGACAGACCTAAATTTCGAGAAATCCTATTTTCTCCATCCTCCTAAAATACCTAAATAAGTCGTAAAACAGCCTTACAACCTTAGAAAAATTGCTCTATTCTGGGAAGGAAGAAGGGTATTTCTAGTGTGAGTATGTCGATATCTTGTGGATTCTTAGCCGAATTCACCGTCACGAAGCCGGAAATACAGAAATCAAAGTCAATAACTCTGTACAACTGTTTGGCGCATAGGTAGGCTAGGTTTTATGAATTGAGTAGTTTAAATTTATGCTTACTACGTAATATATGTGAATCAATAATGGTAGGATTTTGCGTAGGCCTTCGTGCACTGAATGATTCATGATTTAAAGCCTTAGACGATGAATTAGGGTTGAGTATGGTGGAATTAAGGTTGCATGAGGTGTGCCACGAGGAACCAATGTAGATGATGGTTGTGACTTTATGATTGTGTGATATATATTTGTTCCTGCTTTATAAGGATATTCATCATACTCTATGTGGGGAGAGATCCATAACCTTGTGTAGCCGGGATAGATGTTGGGAGCACCTTGAGATGTTGAGGAGTGACTTTCGGAAGCCAGCCCGAGTCTGGTAATTGTTCTTTCAAGCTTGTATGATGTATCATACTGGGAGAGCACTTGATCGAGGTTACACGAGCTTAATGTATGTTTGATTTATTTCTTGGTTGACAAAGTACTTGTTAACTTTGGGAGTTCCTGATGAGTAGTATGCGAGAGATAAAAATATTTCAGCTTCTCAGTGTTTGAAAATAAAATTAAATAATAAAAGCGTGTTCTCTCTAACAACTTAAGTTTTTAGATGAGATGCTCACACAATTCAACACTGAGAACGTGAAGATAGGCAAGTTGACTAATGAGGAGAGACATGATTTCCCGATAGCATTAATAATTGAGTTTGTTTGTGTGGATGATGGAACTACATGAGTAGTCGAATATAAGCTTTAGCAGTTTAATCCTCTTTTGAAACACAAAAAAGAGATCACCTGTGTAGGGCTGAGATTCTGTGGCTATAAATGGAAAACTAACACAAATTTTAACACAGTTAAGGTTAAGTGAGAAACTTTTTCATGTTACCTTCACCAATGGACTTTGCAGGTCTTTTATATTAATTTGTTTCATTAGGAAAACGATAAGAAATTGATATAAGAACTTGGAATAGGCATAGTTTCAACTTCATAGAGAAAAAGTAAAACCAATTTAGTCTGTGAAAAATCAACATACAGAATAAACAGAGCAAATTAAACTAGAAACGCCCCTTGTGCAGGCACAAGCATTATCGTAAGCCTTTCTTCTGAGGTTTGAGGAGTTGACTCTTGTGCACGAAGAGAGTGTAAGTCACTGCCATTCGCAAGGCTATTGAACTCCACACATTTGGATGGCGTCGTTGGCAGAATGTCACCAGTCTTTTAACTGAATACAGAAGCTTCCTTGTTGTCTCATCATTCATGACATGAGCAACACTATTTGTATGAATCTTCTCACGTGCTGATCGTTCATGAATACCAACCATAGTAACACCAATAGGCCAAGGTGCATTACCAATGGCTATCTTATTAAGATATTGATCCATTGCTTCAATATATTCTCTATTCATACAACATTCAACCATCACAACTAATGCTTTCCGAATATCATGATTAAGTAACCTTTTCCTGCATAAATCAAATAACGGATTCAAATCCCTAGCACACTGCATAAAAGTAGCCACCACTGTCTGGTTTTTAGCCTCATGACTTATCTTATCCAGCTCCTGATTCCACTCATTCAACAACTTTTTGTAAAACACCAAAATCTTATCCTCATCACACAAATCTTCAAAATTAGTTTTCATCCTCTTCGAATCTTCATCATCACGATCTTTATCCTGATCTGTCGCCTTCCGCTTCAACCTCCGTGTCTTCTTCAACTCCAAAATATCTCTCAAAAAGTCATTCGTTTGCCCTTCAGTTTCATCAACTTCAAACAATCCAGCTTTCAACACAAGATTCAACCTATCAAACCTTGCCTCTACATCTTCTCCGAATAAAGTAACCGGATGTTTCAAAAACCTAAGCCGGCGAACAACTTCTTGTTGCGGAAGAAGGGAGACTGATGAAGAAGATTCTGGTTTGCTATTGTCGGTTGACAAGTAAGGTTTATGATTATGATGCTGCTGGGATTTCGCTTCAACTTGACGTTTTTCTTCTTCACGTTTCTTACTCTCTAATCTATTGAAGAATTTCCGTCCACCCACATATTGGACTCGATTGTTCTTTAGCTTCTCTGTTATTTGTTTCAGTTCCTCCATTGTTTTGATTTGTGAATTTGCTTTGCTAGTTTTCAGTTTACTTAAAAGAAAGAAACAAAGTCAAATCCGTCTAGGAATAGAATTGGAAAGAAATAATACGACTTATGAAAAAAAGGTACGGGGTAAGAATATGAAATAAGTAATGTAGTTTCCTTTTCCTGTGAAAAAAATAGGAGAATTATATACACTCCTAAAATATATGGGAAAACTATAAGAAGAAGATTCCTAAACTCTTAAGCTAACTAACTATATAGAGAAAAGATATTGCCAAAGCTTTTTAGGAAATAAACTAATAAATAGGAATACTAAATAGTTAGGATTTGTTTGTCCTAATTCATATAGGAATAGATTTTCCAGTTAAATTTTGTTTGTTAGTATTATAAATAGGGGTGACTTATTACATATTTTCATATATTGTGAGATACGAGAGTGATTGTATTAAGCGCAGCAACGTTTATTCTTCTATTGCTTTTACACCGAAATTGATCTGAGAACATGAGCGACAAAAGAAGAGTTCACCCAAATTGTGGGAATGGCTCGAACCCTTATCATGAATGCAGCAAATATTGCTTCAAAATAATAGCGGAAATAAAGAAGCAAATGATCAAAGCTGAAACACGTGTGTTGCAAGCGAATACTGTTGATGAAAGAGATGGTGTTGAAAGTCACAGTGATGATGGAGAGGATAGTACGAGAGAAGAGTCGGGGAATCTGATAAGAGGGAGGAAGAGGAAGTTATTTGAATTGAGGTTAAAAATGAACGAGGCAAGAAAAGCTAATCAATCTGCAATGGTAGTAGAGAAGAAAAAAACAGAAGCTCCAACTGCAGAGTGTAGAGGAATGTCCAAGTATGGGAAGGCGCCAAAATCATCAGACGACAAGATAGAGAGGATGGTGAAGGAGCTAAAGGACAGGTATGAGAAGCGTCAATCATTTAGTCGGAGGAGAAAGTTTCATGAAGAGAAAGATATTGACTCTATTAATGATCGTAACGAGCACTTCAATAAAAAGATTGAGCGTGCCTTTGGAAAATACACCTTGGAGATCAAGAATAGCCTTGAGAGAGGAACTGCTTTGCCTGACTGATCCAATAACAGAAGCGTTCTATAAGAACTCAGCAGAATCTTCAGTATTTTTCCAAAATAATAGTAATAATAAAAATAGTATAGATAGAAGATCTTTTGATTGAATGTTTTTAAATTTATTCAGTAAATTTTAAATGTCTGCCCATAGTTTATTCACAACTTCATTAATCAAATTCTACAAAAATCAATAAATGGTTAAGCGAGATCTATAATTACAAGAAATCTTACTAGTTTAGTCGATTGACTACTTGAACTTTGACCTTGTTGATGTGAAAGTAATTCCTTCCCCATTTTCCAAACAAAATTATCCATCCATTAACTCAATTTTTATAATTAAATACTCTACAAAAACCTCTAAACTGCTGGCTAACTTAATTAACAATTAAACATTGTGGAGAAATCTCTAAACAGAATACTAAAAGTAGCTCCAGAGTAATTGAAAGTTTGAGTGGGGAAACACTACATTTAAAGAATGAAAGGGAAAAGAAACACTTGTGACTGGATTTAGGAAGCAAGTGGAGTAGTTTAACAAGATTCATATTTATAGTTTCTATTCATAATTGGGGGATGATACATTGGAAATTAAGGAAAATACAATACATATAAAATCCAAATCATACAAATTCATTTGTTTAATTAGTAGTTGTGTAAAACAACATTGTGTATCTTGGCAGTGCCGAAGAGTAGCTATTAGGCTACGAGAGATTTATCATCGACCATTACCACCACCACCACTACCTGACCCACTCCCTACTCCAACACCTTTGCCAGCTCCAGCACCAACACCAACTCCAATACCAATTCCAATTCCAACTCCGATACCTCCACCA